AATCTGATAAAGCTTTTATTAATCAATAATGGGATCATATATGTGATAAGTCATTTTACAAAGCACATCATTTACATTTTGAAAAAAATAATTTTTTTTATTAAAATATCTCAAATAGTAGTAACATTGGAAATGTCTAGTTTTAAAAAGAGATCAATATCAGTTGTACAGTACTGTAATATATAGAACATCAAGTTTTATTTTTTATACATACGATATATATATATATATATATATATATATATATATATATATATATATATATATATATATATATATATATATATATATATATATGAATGAATGATGAATATGAATGAAACAAACATTAGATAATTTGTTTAACATAACTTTCCCAAGCGATTGGATAACGTGAAAACACTGTAGGCAATAAAGCATAAACATATAACATGTGAACACAAACATGTTTTTCTTTAGAATAATAAATCATTCGACATGCTTGAGCAATAGAACACCTTGTAAATAGAAAAAAAAAAACAAAAAAAAAAATAATTTCATCATTCATATGAAAATGATTTTGTTCGATTATAAATGATTTCTGTCAAAATTTCATTTGGTTTGGAACAAGGATGTTTTGTTTCATCTTAGATTAGAATGTATACATGGTTCCATGTGAGAATGAATTCACAGATGGAATTACTGCTTTTTTTGTTTAGGATCATATCCTTGAACTTTTAAAAAATGCCAGTGTTATATAGTTTTCTTTGGTTCTTTATTGAATGTTAGTTTTTGTAAAGTAAAAATTATCTTCAGATTGTACTATATTTTTATATAAAAGATAAATTAACTGTTAATTGATAGCATTACAAAATATAAATTTAACTGAATGGAGATACAACAAACTTGTAGGATCCCAACTGAGGTTTGAACTGAGGAATAACTGTCTAGGTAGGTTGGATACTCTCTATTGTCTAGGTTAAAACCAAAACAAGTGATTTGGGTGAATGACAATCCTTAAATTCATCATAAATATAAATTCACTTCATTACCTAAACAAATATTATCACTCAGTTATTCCACCAACAATTGTCCAAGTAATCAAATCAAAAGCACAAGTAAATGATATACTATCCCTCCTGGATAGATCAGTGTGGTGTTTGAATGAACTAGTAACTTCTTGTTGTTTTGGAATGCTTGATTTCGAATTCTAAATACATTACATTCGTTTGTGCATATCTCTAGTTCTTGATTCACATACTTCTAATTATCACAATCAGATTCGTTCGACAGATAATATTTGGTTGCTTTATAACACAGAAGAGTTTCCAGTTCTGGAAGAGTGCTTCAATTCACAATCAAAATGCTCAATTCCAGCCAAAGCAAGCAAACCAATCAAAAAAGGAACAAATCAATATGGCTGTCGTTATAACTTAATATCAGCTTAAACAAGATCAATACAGCTCAGAAAGAAACATAGAAACTCAGTAAAGGCACAAAAAATAAAAACTTTAATAAAAAACAAATATTATCATCTCAAAAATGGAATCGAACAGACTAACAAAATGTACGACTGAAGGAATTAATAAGAACAAATTACAAATGCATACATGCAGGGATTTTCACAAAAGAAAGCCTTTAAAAATAGATATTACAAACTTTTAATTTTCCTTGACCAAGCTTAATCCTTAATTAGAATACACCAAATGTTTAATTTGCTGGTAATTAATTATGAAAATATCACACAAATTTCATCCATTTTCAAAGTTCCTAATAATACATACTAGCAAGTAATACCTTATTATAGAGTTAATCAATTATCAACATTCCACAATTATTCACTCTAGTAAAATAAACTTTGAATTAGTTTATTAAAGAGTTCAATAAGTCTCAGCATTCAAAAAAAATCAGTAGTTTAAAGTTGATTTCACGATAACAAAACACAACTTTTTAAAAGTTTTTCTAATCTGTTGAATATAAAATGTTTACTGGACACTAGAAATGTTATTCATAGGAAATCGATGAGAATAGTTGATATCAAATCTTATTCATTGAGTGAATTTGCATAGAAAACTTAAATAAGATAATGGAACAATATACCATGTGTGGAAATATTTAACATAGTAATTTAGTTCTAACTACACAATTCTAAAATTTTTTGACTGATGTTCAATGGTAATGTGTGTACAAAATTTTAGGAAATTTTTCAGGTTCTTGATTATACTTATCCTAGTATTATGAATTGTTAGGATATTCATCCAACATCTTAAGAGAATTATTTGTAAGTCTAATTCTGTTGGTTACTGCCTAATGGCGGTCCTAACTATCAATGTCAAATACTTCAAATGTTGTTTCCCGGATCCATAGTCCAGGATCCTCCTTTTACTCAATGGGGGTTCGGGACGCTCGGATTAGTGTAGCCTGTCATGTCGCCGGTTCCTCGCTCTTGTTTACAAACCATGGTGAACTCGTAATATTTCACGCACATCAAATGACTAGTTAATGTGCATTCGTAACATGAATAATCATGCATTAAATTAAATTAAAATTATACAAATATACATACTGTTTTTGAATGATACATGTGTTTTCAATAAATTCATTATATTTCGTTACCTCCACCTCTGCTAGACACAAGCTAATATATTTATGTAGTTTGAAAAAATTAACATACTTAGACAATAAGAAATGTATTATCCATTTGAGAATAAAAAGTTGTTTAAAAGTTGTAAAGATAATTTATAATCAAGCTCCAATACTGCTTTTTTAAATAATAAGAATGATAATCTTAGAGTAATTAAAAAGTAAACGATAGTTTTATCGTCTAATAGAAAGAGATATTTCCGGTGTAAGATAATAGCTGAAAGGTCAACCATATGATGTTTTTTTTTAATATCAAGAACAGAAATCAGCAATGTTTGTCTTTTTGAATTGTGATAACTGCAATTCATTGAGTTCATCATGAAATATTTTTCTGTTTCCTATTTTTCAATGCTCAATATTCTTTTGTCATATAATTACTTACTTACGTACTAACGCTTGCTACCCCCGAATGGAGCATACGCCACCGACCATTATTCTGCAGCCTACTCTGTTCTGGGCTTGCCTTTCCTTTTCTGTCCAATTTTTGTTCATTCTGCTTATATCTGTCTCCATTTCTTGGCGTAATGTGTTCCTTGGCCTTCCTCTTTTCCTTTTGCCTTGAGGGTTCCAAGAGAGGGCTTGCCTCGTGACGCAGTTAGGTGCTTTTCGTAGTTTGTATTCTGCCCACTTCCACCGCTTCTTCCTGATTTCGTCCTCCACTGGAATCTGGTTTGTTCTCTCCCACAGTACGTTGTTGTTGATACTGTCTGGCCAACGAATCCGAAGTATTTTGCGTAGACAACTGTTCATAAATACTTGTATCTTCTGAATGATCGCTTTGGTAGTTCTCCATGTTTCCGCTCCATACAGTAGAACTGTCTTGACATTTGTATTGAAAATCCTGATTTTGGTTGATTGTTGTTTGGAGTTCCAGATATTCTTCAACTGTAGAAATGCAGCCCTTGCTTTGACAATGCATGCTATCACATCTGCATCGGATCCACCTTTCTCGTCGATGATGCTGTCAAGATATGTAAAGTTGTTAACGTCCTCCAAGGCATCTCCATCAACAAGGATTTGGTTGATGCATGTTGTATTGCATCGGAGAATTCTGCTTTTTCCTTTATGTATGTTGAGATCTACTGCTGCAGAGGCTGCTGCTACACTGGTCGTCTTCTCTTGCATTTGTTGTTGCGTGTGCGATAGAAGAGCCAGGTCACCTGCGAAGTCCAAATTGTCCAGCTGCATCCTGGTTTTCCACTGAATACCGTACTTCCCTCCAGATGTTGACGTCATCATAATCCATTCGATAACCAGGAGAAAGAGAAAGGGTGAGAGCAAGCAAACTTGTCCCACACCGGTCTTCACCTCGAACGAATCTGTCAACTGACTTCCATGTACGATTTTGCATTTTAATCCATCATAAGAATCCAGCATGATGTTGACCATCTCAGGCACGCCGTAGTGTCGAAGAGGCCTCCACAGTGTTTTCCTGTCCAAGCTATCGAATGCTTTCTCGCAGTCAATGAAGTTGATGAAGAGTGGTGAGTTCCGTTCTATTGATTGTTTCAGAATGATCCCTAACGTTGCAATTTGGTCAACAGACGATCGATCCTTACGAAATCCAGCCTGTTGATCTCGAAGTTGTGCATCTATGAAGTCCTTCATTCTGTAAAACAATACCCTGTTGAAGACTCTGCCTAGTATTGAGAGAAGAGTGATGCCTGTGTAGTTCTCACACTTGCTGAAATCGCCTTTTTTTGGTATTTTGTTGAGGTATCATTCTTTCCAGTCTGTTTACACTTGTTCTTCCTATGAAATCTTGTTGAAGAGGATTTGGAATATTTTCGCAGTTTCTGCCACATCTGCTTTAATTACCTCTGCTGAAATGTTGTCTGGTCCTGCTGATTTGCCGCTCTTGATCTGTATGATGGCTATACTGATCTCCTCCATTGTAGGTGTGCCAACATCAATTGTGTGGTCCGTGTATGCTGCATCAGTGTTGGGTGGGTTCAGTGAGGCTGATCGATTCAAGAACTCCTTAAAGTATTCTACTCATCTGTCTCGCTGTTCTTCAATACGCCGACAGAAATTATCCCCTCTAATTATAAGAAAACCCATCATAGGATTAGTTTAGATTTCATCACAAACATACATCTCAAATATAACTATTGTTCTGTAGTAGGAAATTTATTTTTTAATTTATATGTAGCTGAGGATAAAATAACAAAGTGGAATGAATTCATCTTATTTTTTAAACATAAATGATATTGCTTTATTTGAACTTAACTGAATATTCAAAATATTTCATATTTAAAACTTGTCTAATTAGTTGTTTAAGTAAAATTCTGCTTTATATCAACCATGATTCTAACTACTTTATTCATTTTAAATAAGGATAATAATAATCACTAAAAATCAATTAACTTTACTTTATTTTATTCAATAATTAAATTTACCTGTATAAACATTCATTTAAATTAGACACACGAAGTTGAATATGACAAGAATCAAGTTTAGGTGTTTTATGCAAATAATTAAATTGAAAGAATTTAGAAAATTGTTGAAATGTAAATCGTGACATAGTTTGAATTCCTTTTCGAAATAATTCACAAACTATACCATAATTCTTTTTTGCTGATAATGAATCTGGACGTAATTGTTTACTTGGAATAAGTAAAACTCTTGAAGGATTTAATGTAGATGGATTATCTGCTATTGATGACATACGACCCATTGGATTTGCATCACGTAAGATCAATTGTACCATTGATGTGGTATTAACTTCTGGTAATAGATGAACAATACTTGTCCAGAATATTTTACTGGAATAATTCTTATCAGGAATCCATTGAATACAATTTAATCCCATTAGAAAATATTGTTTATCGCTTGTACTTTGTTTTGCGCAAATTTCATTGGCTTCACAAAAATTACGTAGTATTCCATCGTCGATCGTTAAAAATGATTCATTTGCACATGATATTAAATAGTTTGTATAATAGTAATTGAAAATGATAAATATTTTCACTGTTTTAGTGAGCAGTAGCATGATTATGAAAGAAGTAATATTATACAACTTAATTTATATCAGTTATTTAGTGTTGTAAAATATTTCAGAAAACATAGAAATTTATTTGGATTAAAATTAAATGTTTGTATTTATGGGCATGAAAGACAAATGATAAAAGAAATAACTGAAGAATCATTGAATTTTAACGTTTCTTCATGATTCTAACTTATCTGTCAGTCATTTTTTTAATAGTGTGTGACAGTTTGGAAGATTTAAATGAACAATAGTGTTAGTGAAGTAACATTTACTTTCAAGTATAAATGAAAGATCATTCACATCATTGTATTTATCTAGTTAGTATTTACTGAGATGTTTCATTAAACTACAGTAACTATAGTAAAAACGATATCAGATGTTTAACATTATGTTTTCGTTTTAAAGAACAAGTTACATAAAGTAAATTATTAGTGCTATTTACTATTCCATTTCACATATATAATCGTTGCATTTGAGATCATCATTGTTCTGTCATTGACAGGATCATATGATAGACTGAAGTCAATATATATTAACTATTATCATACCTTAAATAGATAAATTAATCCATTTATAGTGATATACTTTTATGAAGAAAACACAATTTCTGAAATGCAAACATTTATTACTGTACTTAACTCTGACAATAATTGTTATACTGCACTCATTTTGATATACGGAAATCGAAGGGAGGATTTATTCCATAGCATATTTAGGCGTCCGTACATAAAAGAGTCCGTTAGCAAGGCGATAAAAGATATATTGTACCTAATACTCACTCAGGACTCTCTCATCCATGCTTTATGTTTCTTAGTAATAAGTATTCGACTTTCGATAGTGTTTGCTCTTCATACCTCATTCTCAGTTACCTTGTCGTCTAGCCATTGACAATTAGGTTGCAATTGAGTAAACTCAGTGTTACGACATCATTCCTTGGATGATTGTTTGCATTCAACTGTATATTGGAAACGGTTGCCCGAATCATCCTAGTTAGACAGTTGATCAAATCTTGTAGGGAAATGTGTCGTTGATTCTCAGCAACCGAACACACTCATCATTCCTTTTGCTGTTTAGTACATTATCTGGTGCAAGATTAACCTTCGACTGTAAGGCACAGGATGTAGCATTTCAATGATTTTGTGATTTCGGTTTAGTATGTTTTGTCTCCTTAATTAGAACTGACTTAACTGATCACTGAATTTGTGTTTTGATGTGCTTTAACACGAGTCACATACAAATGAGTTGTTCGCTATGCAGGCTAATGTAGATTGGTCGAATCGAATGAACAATGTTTCGTTAGCTGTCCATCCAGACCAGATTTCGACTATTTTGGCATGAAACATGTTTCGGTGGAGTTTTAACGAGCAGTTACTTAAACGGTGTACAACACCTAGTTGTAAAACGAAAACTCAGATTTTCTTTCTAGAAACCCTGTTAACTGAGACTATTATCTCCGCATAACTGCTATCATGCTCATCAGTTAGCCTAATTAGTCCATTCAGATAGTGAAAAACTAATTTATCTGTTATTGATATTAAAGCAGACAGGAGAATCAGAGGCGATCTGATTATGGCGTACACCATATTAAACACGCCAAACCATCCCAATGTGAGCATCTTACCGACGCATCACCACCACCACTTCCCTCGAGGCAATCCTCGAAAGATTGCACATCAAAGAGCGAATACTCAGATTCGTGCACACTTTTTCTCATTGCGAGTCGTCGCAACTTGGAATGCTCTCCCAGCCGAGGTAACCACAGCCCCCTCAGTGGACTGCTTTAAGAAGAGACTTGATAATCACGTACTCACATACGGACTATCATCTCCCTCTTGGACAAGCTGTTCATGATGCATATCTTGAGACCTGCTAGTTGTTACCATTGCCATCTCCTCAGATTACCCAATTAATCTATCTCGCCTATTATCTCTGTTTCCTCTTCCTTACTTACACTTCCGTCCTCTCTCACAATCTTCACTACCAATTAATAAACTAAATTCATCTGTATATTACTCAGTTCTGAAATTTTATTCATATTATCATTATAATTATATCCT